GGCCGAAAGAGCAAAGCTCAACCCCCGCAAACACAACTAGGTGAATACAGGGTATACTCTGGAGTGGCGCCCATGCCTCCGTCACGGTGGGGTCAGCACCACACACACGCACACGCACGCACGCCCTTCACTAACTTGAAGACTATCATCAAGGTATTGACACGCTAGGTTCCCTGCCCTCTGCTCTACCGTTTACAGTTGGGCGTGAGCCAAGCTTGGGGTCGGGACCTCCATCGGGGGGTCCCAGGTTTCCGTGAGACTTTTTCATTGTATTTAAAATGCGTTCGGGATTTACTTACGTTAAATTCATCGCGTGCTTTTCGCACAAAATAACACCAGAAGGGCTTCAAGCTGCGCTGGAAAATTCAGTAATGACTGTTAAATGGCTCATGTTGGCTTATGGTGGGCTGGCGTGCGTGGCGGAGTGTGCTGCAGGTGTCGCGGGATGTGTATCCTGACCTCACACAGGTTATCCTGGCCCGGGGCGTACATCTTGGATGAGCTGAGCGTGTGAGGCACGCCACGCGACGCCCTTGTGCACGTGTGTTGTACGTACTGTGTGACGCAGGTCTCAGGCTCGGCCCTCATCAAGCACTTGCACAACCACTTACAGACATCATCTTGTATAAGAGTTACACGTATCTTTATTATGCCTCTCCTTGTTTCTTATGTTCCACTGTGCTATTGTGTCCAGTTCCCTCAGTCTTTCCCCGGTAGTCAGTACACCCAGCTCAGAAATAAGCCTCGTAATCTCTCTCTCACGTACAACTAAGCTGTGATAAGCCTCGCCCTCCTCACCTACACTCTCCCCTCACCTACTCCACCCTCATCCTGGCTACAGCAGCCTCATACAGCTTGATTTTTTTTATGAATACATTAGGTACATCTGCATTAGTGCAGCTGCCCTAGACTATATGAAGGGGAGTACAGTATGTCAAAAAGCTAGCTACGTGGTGCTAAAAATCCCCATCACACAGGATGGTTAGTCATACAGAGGCATGTGATAAGTAGTCTGCACTGGCAGACTCCGGGTGCATTATGAGGATATCATCAACACAAGAGTGAATAAAGTAATTGCAAAGCGCCAGGTGCCTCGCGCCAACTAGTCATACAGATTTTTTTTATTAACACATTAGGTACATCTGCATTAGTGCAGCTGCCCTAGACTATATGAAGTGGAGTACAGTGTGTCAAAAAAGCTAACTAGGTGATGCTAAAAAATCCCCATCACACAGGATGGTTAGTCATACAGGGGCATGTGAGTCTGCCAGGGCAGTCTGCACTGGCAGACTCCGGATACATTTTGAGGATATCATCAACACAAGATTGAATAAGGTAGCAGTGGTAATAGAAGTCCCCATCTCGCAGGATGGTTAGTCATACAGGGCCATGTGTTTAATAGCCTGCACTGGCAAATTTTGGGTATACTGTGAGGATATCTTCAAGAATACGAGAGTGAATAAAGTAATTGCAAAGCTCTAGGTACCTCATGCCAACTGGTCTGAAAGGTCTAATAACTGGGCATTCAGTGATGTAGTGCGGGAGATCGTGCCGTAGTTCCTGCTCACAGAGTTTGCAACTGGAGTGCTCAGGATTGGGAGATCCGTCACCTGCAGCCACCAGCCACAGGTAACGGTAACCCAACCTGATCCTTGCAACCACTGTGTCGCACAGTCTAGTGGACGTTTTGTGCTGTCCATAGATGTAGGTTTCAGATCTGAACAAATCATAGCTTTTTATACTAGTACTTTCAGGTCGTTGGGAGTCAGTAAGTTCTTTCCTATCAGATCTGAGTGTTTGGACCAATACAGTTTTGACAGCAGAGATGGGGATACCTAGATCTAATTCAACTTCAAACTTGTTACATGCTAATTTGGCTGCAATGTCTGTCTCATTATGATGGGTTATATTTATGTGTGAAGGTATCCATACAAAGGAGATTAGAGATCCTTTACTCTGTGCATCAATTAGATCATTTATAATTGGGAGTATGAGGTTCTTGCTGTCGATCTTCCAAGAGAAGTTTTCGATTGCTTGAAGAGCAGACTTTGAATCACAGAATATTATTCCTCCTCCAATGTTTTTTAATGTACTGGTAGCTAGGTGTAATGCTGCTAGTTCTGCTTGTGTGGAGGTCAGCCAGTTGTTTAACCTGACACTGACAGTCTTTGTGCAAATATTATTTCTATAAAACCTACATGCCGCTGCAGTCCGTCCAGTAGAGGATTGGACTGAGCCGTCGGTGTAGACACAGTGCTCGTGAGATTTTAAACTCTCGATGGAGGAGGCAATTGTTTCAAGAGTGACAGCTTCGTCATGCAGACGATAGGTGCAGAGAGCCAGAATTTGGGTCCAAAATATGGCTCAGGTATCGAATTTGGGATGTTTGGGATATTTTGAAAAACTGCAGGGGGGTTTGGGCAAAATGTGACCCACCGCCGCTTTCAGTAATTGGCAGATTTTTAGTATAAAAAGTCGGAATTTCAAACTGCGAATAGGT